ACCAAATACAACAACTAAAGTTGCTTGGTTGCAAAGTCTATTTCATGAACTTGGTATATGTCTTTTTACTTCTCCTATTATTTGGTATGACAATATTAGTGCAAGCTCTCTTGCCTCCAATATTGTTCATCATGCTCGAACAAAACATATTGAGATATAGATGCACACTATATTCGAGAACAAGTCATTGCAAAGAAGCTCATTGTCCAGTATGTGCCTTCTACTTTACAAATTGCTGATATCCTCACAAAAGCTTTACCAACTGTTTCATTTGTTTCGTTAACTCATAAACTTACCCTTAGTACCTTTCTAAGACAATCCTCCCCTTCAGCATAATCTTGTTCTTTTCAAGTTGCAGCTACAAACTAGCTTGGCTTGAGGAAGGCTGACTTTAGTATTATGGAATTCTTGATTTGCTGTTATAGTTCTGGAAGTATTTTCTAGAGTTCTTGATTTGGTGTTAGATTTTTGGAAGTATTATGAAAACTAAAGTTAGTAGAGTAGTTGAAGTGTGAACTAAAGTTAGTAGAAGATTCAATTAAGCTTTGAAGAATTTGTGAAACTAGAGCTATATAATTTGAGCAAAATCAGTAAGGAATGTCCGTTCCTGAAGGAAGGATGCCCATTCCAAATCCAAAGCAAGCCGTTCTCGTGAAGAGCAAGCTCGTTCTCATGGTTGTTCTTTATATTGCCAAATTTGGAATTTAAGAGAAGTCAACAAGGGACACTTGTTCCACAGCAAGGAACTCCCGTTCCCCTATCCTTTAAGCCATTCTAGGCAAGAATGACATCATTCCTTTGGTTGTTCATAGTTCTATCCAACTTTTGCGAAGTGGAGATTCAAAGTGGAATGCCCGTTCAACATAAAGGAACACCCATTCCTATATCCTTTAAGTTGTTCCAAGCAAGAATGACACCATTCCTTTAATCATTCATAGTTTTGTACAATTTTTGCAAAATTGGAGATTCAAAGTGGAATGCCCGTTCAACAAGAAAGAACAACCGTTCCTTTATCCTCAAACCGTCTCCAAGAAGAACGACCTCGTTGTTGTGTCTGTTGGTCTATTGGAAACTCAATGCACATTTTGGACAACAAGAACGCCTATTCCCAAAGAGAAGGGATGCCCGTTCCCCATATTATAGTTGTCAACAAGCTACAACTGTGGAACAACTTAGCTTGAGGGGGGTTATCAAGATATCAGCTTAGGAGCAGTTTGGGTTAAAATGTAATATTGGAAAGTAGTTAGGACTCACTTGTAATTTTTCTAGGTTAAAGTGTTAGAAATCAAAGTTTGTAAGAAAAGCAGTATTTTGTATCAACGGCTTTATAAAAGAGCCGCACGTGTTATTCCAATCAGTAAATGAAAATCCCACATTTCTTATCTCTTCAATTTCGTGCTCTCTGCTTTCTTCTAATTGATTTAAAAAAAAATCTTCTTAAATAATCTATATGATTAATATCAATCATGCATCTATAAGGGATCAAATTTAATATTTTGAACTTAAATAAACAAATTCTTACTTGAATGTAATTTGGAGTAACAAAATTAGAATCACCCATAATTTTTACCAAGGTTACATATGCCATTGTTATATATTTCATATTTAGATTGCGTTTGCCATACATGCATGCCAAAGAAATCAAGGTAGTAAATTTTTCAAAATTAATTTATTCAAATGAGCATTAGAAAACCCACATACAATCTTAGCCAGGGCATGGGGTATTCTTATTCACAAAAAGGAATGTTATGCCTGGGAAAATAGGGCTGACGTGGCACCCAGATAAGTGCGAAAGGTCAGACCCCGGGAAGAGTTTATTGACATTCTGGCGCGGCCACATCTTGTTATATGGTTGCACCCACATCTTGCTTCCGTCAGAATAATGGGTGCACGTCAGGCCAGCCAGGAGTTGTGATGATCCTGCATGTCCAATCTCTGTAGCAAATCATGTGAATTACTCTAAAAGAAGGATTTGCACTGATCATCCCACTAACTTACAGATTCAATGATCATTACCTCAAGGCATCCCACTATAAAATGAGAGCTCCTGTCTCATTAAGGGGATTCGCACATTTTACTCTTGACAAAACTCTCTCTCTTTCTAGAATAGACAGTCTTTGATACCTTGTATCATCAGTGTAAAGTCAGTCGTCTAAAACGACCTAACCCTTATCATTAATAAAACCATCAGTGGATGTAAGATTTGCTTCCTTAGCATCCGAACCACTTTAAAACTCATTTTTTACTGCATTTATTGTCATTTTCCTTTCCATTCACGTGTGTCTTTTGGGTCAACTCAACATTTCACACGTGCGTTTTGTTGATGTCAAAATCACGCATTAACAAGGAAGAATTGTTAATGGATCCAAAACTGAAACAAAGTAAAACCAAAAAGTGCACCAAAGTGCGGGCAACAAGTAGTCTCAAGAGGGGGACGCTACTCTTTAGATCATGCCTGCAGCCAAATTAGGGGCACTAAAAACTAGATAGAAGCTGAAAACAAAACAATACAAAGTCTAATTTCAGCCTCATCCTCATTCAAATTCACCCACTTTAGACTTTACAAAATGTGATATCATATCCCTATTATTGCAACCTTAACATTTCATTACATTCACACAATATCTAACACCATCAACAATAATAAAACAAAATTCAAATTAATTGTAAAATTGATTCAATAGTGTTATTAAGTCAAAATTATAGATATTATCGAATCAGTCAATCTATAATCTCATCGATGATCAAGTCGATTATATAATTATAGGTTCATTCCATACTTAATCAGATTTGAATAGAGTTATATACATTCTCATTATATAAGGAGTTACTTGAGCATATTTAAATAGATATTATGTTTTCATATGAATCCCTATTTATTACATTTCATTTAGGATTAGAAATAGATGTAATTGAACTTGCTTTTTACATATATTTTGTTATTTGAGACTCTATTCACTCCTTTGAGCTTCTATTGAATTGAGGAATCAGTTTGATAGTCCATCTTTCTTGATATAATATTAATATATATATAAGACATCCTGAACGAGTAACATCGATAGTCCTTTCTATGGAGAGAGATGGGTGATGAAGCATGTCGAAGAAGGATAGAAGCAAAGAGTAAAAGGCATTATCCACGTGTAGGAAGAAAAGAGAACCGAGAGTGATGATTGCGAGCTCCTCTATAAGCCTTTTAATTTATATAAAATCCGACAAAATACAAACATGTCCACTACCATTTCCATCTGAGTTTTGTTCATAGGACATCTCTTTAATTTATTTAAAGGCAAAAACCAGGGACTCTCTCTCTCTCTCTCTCTCTCCACTGCTCTTACCCGAAAGTTTCATTTCCCCATGTGAGTCTCTCTCCCCTCTTGCTTGTTTGGCTTGAATTGAACATTTTGTTTATTCAATTTTAGATTTTTATATTGTCGTGTCCAATTAGAGTGATGTTGAGAAAGAACCAGGAAAAATCATTGATACACGAAAATAAATGCGTATCACAAGTGCTTAACTTGATTACTATATGTTTTTAATATTATGTATTTGTTCAAGTACAAAGAGACACATCCCATTTGACTCAATTCTCATAACATGGTTTAAATTAATTATTCAAAGGAATTAATGTTCCTAGCTTGGAATCTTTATGATAATATATATATTAGACTTTATAAATTAAATTAATTATAAACTATACTGAAAACAATATGTAGTTTCTTGGTTTGTGTTGTGTCCGTTAATCACAGACATAACTCAGCGCAATCATAGCCGGCCTGCAAGATTATGATCCCACAATCATCGTCTAATGCTTTTCTTATTAGGTTAATGAACCCTATCAGTTTTTATAAATTATTTTTCTTGTACCATTTTCTGAGCACACAGTGGAATTAATTTGTCTGCTCTTCTGCAGCTTAAAATCCCATCCGCCATGTGCTTTCCTCAGTTAACTAATGTCAAGTATTAGGTGTTGAAAGAAAGATAAAAGAGAGAGACAATTGAAATGAGAAATTTTTTTGGATGTGATGTAAGGTAAACGACTTACATCCTGGGTGGCTTACATGCAGAATTTTTTTTTTAAGTTTGTTAAAAAGAAAATTGTGGGTCCCAATAAATGCATTATAGATGATAACAAAACTCTTCTCTACAATTTCCAAAACCTTTTTTCTGGATTGTTTGCCATTCTGCAGGCTCTGAAATAATTATTTAGCTAGATGGCATCATCTTTTATCATAGAATTTTTTTTTTGGTGTGTTCTATTAAAAACTCCTTATTGTGTTATGCCAAAATCTAGATTGTATTTTATAGATTAATTGAACTCAATTCCAAGAGATGAGTGACGATATGTTGCGATATATATGTCATCCTTGCACGTTATTGTTAGATCATGAAACATTTGAAAATATATAGTACTGGTAGTTTATGAACTGAATTAATTAATTTTGGAAAAGAAGAAATAGAAGAGGCTTAGTACTTGAGCAAAGAAATATTAGTGATATTGTGGTACAGAGATCTCTTGGATTCTTAGTCAGATTATTATTGGAGTACGGTCTGGAAACATGAGATAGTTGAAGCAAATGTATACAAAGTGGGTTCACTGTAGAGAGACTACATTTTAGTCTTTGTACTGTTGTTCAGTGAATCATACGATAATTTTTGTGGCAAATATACATTATCATGTTGCATGTTTAGTCTAGTCAAGATGGCTTATCTTGTTTATTATTTATTTCTTAGATTGGCAAATTGCTTAGAGCATGTTCTCAACTAATTACTCTTAAAGAAAGAGAGAGTAAGACTAAAACAAAGTTTGATTAGACCCCATGAAATAGACTCCAAAATTACATAGATTATAAAAAATAAATTAACGAAATGATTATATAAATCAAGTTAAAATTTGTGTGTATACATATAGAATATGGTGGAATTATAATTTTCCATGGACCGACAAGAGAGTCGAATGCTGCCATTAATGGAGGCGACAAGCATTCGATTCCCCATTGATCTTTGCAGCTACATGTCTCTCTCTCTCTTCTCTTTCTCTTATAATTTTTTCACTCTCTCTACTATTTTTTGTTGCAGCAGGAACAGTGAATTGAACCTCAGGTTCTCTTCCTCTTATACTGCTAGATAAATTAACCCTTAGTACTTTGAGTTCCCAACAAAACTCTTCCTCTCTCTTTCATTTTTGCTATTAAGCCTTTAGTTCACACTCTCTTTTCAGTTGTATTCACTTCTGCTATAGCCCATCTTCTCTCGTACACTTGTCCTTTCCCATTCTTATAGCTTTGATTAATTTCTTCTATTTCTCTCTCTTTCTTTCTCTCTTTTTAGCTATGGATTTTCAACCCAATACTTCTCTTCATTTGAGTCTACCAAACAACCAACTCAACCTCGAACTTGTTCTTGAGCCATCATCATCATCTTCTTCATCACCTCATAGTCCAGCCGAACCACGAGTCTTCTCGTGCAACTATTGCCAAAGGAAATTTTATAGTTCACAGGCTCTCGGGGGTCACCAGAATGCGCACAAACTTGAACGAACGTTGGCGAAAAAGAGCAGGGAGTTGAGCTCAGCCGTTAGGGCTCATGGAGGGTCGAACCCGCGGCCATCTGGATCCGGCATCAGCGGTTCGAGCCATGTTCTACTTGTTCATCAGCCGCCGCTAGCCGGGTTTCAACATCATCAGGGTCATGTTGCGAGTTTCGGTGGAGAGATGAATTATAACTCAAAAGACGTGGTGAGTTCTTGGTCCATGAATTATAGAGCTGAAAATATTCAAGACGAGCTTAGTCCCCTTGACTTATCGTTAAGGCTTTGATGAGTTGCGCTTATTGTGTTTGAAATTAATTAATTGTATTTTTATGATTAATTAACTGATATTGAAGTATCTGATATGCAAATATCATTTTAATTATGAGAAAAATTAAAAAGAAAGCGGGAGTTATGTATAACCGAAGTTGATTATTCATTGATCGAAGAACAAGTTATTAGAAGATCAAGAGAGTGCTGATTATTATTGTTATTATTTTTATTTTTTGTTCTAATTAAGAGATGTATAAATCTTTAATTATCAGCTAAATTTCTGTGTTTCTCAATTTCTTTCTTGTAAACTGCATTACATTTTGCATAGTGTGAAGTTGAAGAAGAACTGTGGCCCGTTTAAGGTCTAGTACATGGCAGAGTTTAAATGAGGGAAACAAGAAATTAAATGTATACTTAATTCTTCTGGAGTATTGTTTAATTAGGGATTATTTAATTAATTATGATGAATGTTTTAATTTTGAAATATTTGAATTCACCAAATGGGTTATAATTAATTAATTAAATTGACTTATAAGATCTATTGTCATTATCCTTAACAAACTTATACTGAGATCAAATTAAAATTCACTCCATCACCATTAGGGCTTCTTTGGTTAGGAATTTGCAGCTTATTAATAAGTTTAAATTCACATTATTGGACTTCATTATGATATAATAAAAACAAAGCTTCTGATCAGAATCAATGGGACGAAGGTAGTTTCAGTTTTACTACTGTACTTGTTTCTTTTGTTGGCTTAATGCTATCCAAATCATTCAATAAGATCCATGCATTAATTAAATTACCCATGTATATATTTCAATTTTTGTCCTCATTTACACTGAAAATATCAAATAAAATTTAACTTTTGTTTTAACTTTTCACAAGCCACACAGTCGATAAATATTTTAGTGGAATTGACATTGATTGATGTTTTATGTCTTCAAATTGTTGAGTTCACTGTAGCTATACATGAACTTCACTGTCTGTTGTGACACAACATATTTTCTAAGTGTTTGACTTTAATCTATAAATCTTATGGAAGGCATAGACATAATTTCTTACTTTTTTTTTTTTTTTTGGTCGAATTTTCTGGTGATTTTAACTTCTATGAATCATTGAGAAATTTACATAAGGGCTTCCCTCGATAGCTACACTTATTGTCAGCAATATTCTAGACTACCGCAATTCGCAAAATTATTTTTAATTAATTTGTAATTTTATAATGATGGTAGATGAAACGTTTTCTCTTTTGTTTTCTTGCAAAGAAAGTATACAAATGAAGGATAATACAATATCATTTTTGGTATTTCAACCGCAATTTGTTTATAAATCGAAGCAATTTATTTACCTAATTGTTTTTCATCAACATTTTAAAATATATCTCATGTTTCAAAAAAAGAAAAAAAATGAGACCCGAAATCTAAAATCGAACAAACTCCGAACAAGCCCTAATCAGTCTCCAAGTTTAAATCGAAAATTCTTGAGAAAAAAATATAACAAAATGTAAATAAACATTATGATAACATATAAGGAGCTGGATGATTAATATGGCTCGAGTTCTTAAAACCACCTATCATCGTCAAATTGATATTATGTATTTGCTTCTAAAACAGAAAGACTAAAGTTAAATGATGCAATTTGAATGTGATTGATTTTGCCTAATCTCACCTTTCTTTTCAATAATTATCCACAGTTTCGTTCAACCTGATCAAAAGAAATGGATCTTTTTGACCAAAGATGATGCCGTTTCAAGTTTGACCAGTTGTCGGTTTTATTTTTTATTTTTTATATTAACTCTGAATTTTTTTATCTATATCTACATCTCTGCATGCATGTTCCCTTCATGAAGAGAAGGATAAAACACTATTGACGCTTGACCCTTGTTCAATAATGTTCGTTATTTAAATATCAAAATAGTTCATCAAAATAATATTTCTAGGTTAAACTTTTCCTCTTTCTTTTTTTAATTAACATGGCAGCCTAATTTGTTTTCTGGTTAGTTTAGGGTTGAACAAATGTTGGTGGCTCTTCGTGAATATTTATTTTGGGGATCTTGTGATGATGCTTTATTATCTTCTCTTTTCAGATTTCATGCCGACACTCAATTAATTGCTCTTTTCAGTTGATCAAATTTTCATTACAGATCAAACATCAATTAATTTTCTAATTAATTCTCTAAGCTTTACATCAATTCAAGTAAAACTCATTTTCCAAGCTCTTTCGCAATAACACTGCAAAAGAATTTAATTAAGTACAGCTAGATAATTTCCAATTCAATGGAAAGCAAATGTGATGTCGTTTTAATTGTTGTATCTAATATTTTAGTCAAACTTAGCCATACACAATATTCAGCGTCGTGGTCCATAGCTGTAAGATGATCTACTCTTTAACCCAGGACAGTAATTAATCTTGTGGTCCATGTATTTTATACATTAATTTATACCTCATTTGTCATTATCAATATTGATCAATTAAATTAATCAACCCGCTATTCCATATCATTTTCTTTGTAAATTAAAATTAAAATTTGTCTGACCATGATGAAGAAAATTTTAAAATTCTGATCATGAAATTAATGGGGAAGGCTTGTTTTGTATCTATCATTTAGTAAGAGTCAAGTGGTGCAATCTTGTTGACTTCGAACTTTCATTAGTATAGGTCGACGATACAATAATTTTGATTAATGGACCACATTGAGTTCTTTTTTATTGTATATTAGTTTACTTAATTGTCAGCTAACTTTGGCAAACCAGATTTGACAGGCATATCGCTTTGCATGTTAAAAGAAAGAACAAGTAAATAAAAGTCTTCTCTGATGTGCACTTAGAGCATATTAACATTTCCCCTTAATTAAAATTAGGATAATGTGCATTGTACGGATTTATATTGGAGATAGCTATCATATGAGACGTTTATGACAACCCGAATCTTATACTTTTGATCATAATCTTAAGAAACTAATTAATTAGAGAGGTTTTTAAAATGAGATTACAACGCAATCTAATATCTAACAATGCACAATTTGGCGGCATAGATAAGCGTCGGAGTTCGTTAACCTATTATTGTGCTTGTTTTTTGTGTCGCAAAAAATACTTTCTATTGCAGCCTTCTATGTCGGTGAAAGGCTAGTGTGACATAGAAACAGTTTTTTCCAATTTGACAGTTGCGTCGTAAAAGTTTGGAATTCCTTTAGTGAGATCAATTTATTTTGATAGAAGCTTTTACAAAAGTTATTGAAGGAAAAAGTTAGCGGATCATATCAAATATCCTGGTGAAAAGTCAAGATGATAAGCTTAAATGTTTCACTTTAACAAGACCCTTTAAGTTACGGTGATATATATTTCTCCTGATTTGATGCATATTGGAATCAGAGTTGGAGAAGTTTAACCTACTTTCAGTTGCACAAAGATTATGCAATTTTATACGTAATGTATGCCTGTTGGGGACCCAATTAAAGTCTTTTCAACTAGTTTTGTGTTTACGACAATAATGTTTCATTAATTCACTGTACATTTACAATAAGGCTAGCCAATTAATTAACTTAATTCTTCATTAAGAGTGTTTGTAGAAAGACGAATTTGCTATAAAGCTGATGGCAACATGTTTAACATCTTATCAATATCTTGTGCTTTACTTCGTCAAAAAGAGATGTGTTATGCCTAAAAAGTCAGGGCTAACGTAAGCTTATATCAGTATGCACCAATCAGAGTTCAAGAAGGCTTTGCATCATTCAGGAGTTGTCACGTTGCCACAAGACAGGAAAAATATGGTTGTCATCAACTTGGCAGATTTAGGTTTTGTCTATGAGTGAACGAGAGCCGCACACTTGTTCAAGCCCCAGGTAATTTGAGGGTATTTCCTAAGTTATCAGCCAATAGGACATGAGGACGGACTTGCACGGCATTTACTCACTTGCAAATTTGTAATCATTACCTTGAATTCCTCTAGTATAAATAAAGGACTCTCCCTCTCATTTTCGGAATTTTGATACCGAACCCTCATTTTGATTATAATCTTTAACTTTCAGGGCAAAGATAACCTACGAGAAAGAGATTGACTTGAGATTCTATCTGAATACTCATTTATTATACCTCTGCTCGCTGTTCGCTATATGCGACCTCTTGTAATTTCTTATATATAAAAGAACAGTGAACATATGATTCGCTTTAAGTACCTGAACCACTTTAAGAACCATCTCTCATTTATTATTTAGTCTTTGCATTCGATTATCCCAATCATTCACGTGTGATTTCTAAGAGTAGCTTAGCACTTTGCACGTGCCAGTCGTTAGTATCAAAATCAAACATCAACAGTTTGGCATTAGAAGGAGGGCTTGATTTAGTATCTGCTCTTCATCAAGAATCTCTGATCAATCAGTTTTACTCACGAACCAATGGCTCATGGTCTTGAAACCAAGCGGGCTAGCACCAACAACGAGGAGATCCCTTGGGTATATGATGATACTTCTCTTAAATTACCTCCAATTTCATAGGGTCCTATCACAGATATTCCCTCGAGCTCACAGCATGACCTAGCTGTGATGAAATACCTGGAGAGGTTCAATAATACTCTCCAAACGGTCAGCCAAAGACTAGATCGTTTGGATAAGTTCGTACTGCCCAATTTCAACAGAGCGGGTCGTTGTCGAAGACGCCTGTAGGTCATGCTAAAGTGCGAAAAGAGGCAAAAGCCCATGCCACGTGCACTACAACACGTAAGGATAAGGGAAAGCATGTGGCAGATAATGGGCCAAAAGGCTCAAAGGGACCAACGAATACCGGTCGTGAAGCAGGTAGAATACCTGTGGCTTTGCGACTTGGCGGTATGTCACATCATGAACTATCCCATGCCACATCACATGGGCACCCCCACAAGAGTGTAAGGTAGGGAGATTCCCATTATCGCCGACGTGATGGTTATGCCCATCATCGCAAGGGAAATGGCTAGCATCCGTAGGTTGGTTCTTACCATCGTGGAGGTTGGGATAGCTCCCCTGGCCATTCAGTGCCTTCACATGGCTCCAGCCAGGGTATGTCAAGGTATGCCAGAGGCTTGGGCCGAGGTGAGAAAGAGTCCGACTTGTGGTCTTTCCTCAATTGCAATCGTGAGGGTCGAACCCACGTTGTGGAAAGTGATCCTCAAGTAGCTCCACTTCCTCAGATTGAGGAGTTATAGCGAGCTCTGGATTAGATTGGAGCTTA